TAAAGATTTGACTTGACCAGTTTGGCAACTGTAAAGGCGAACTTTTCGTCTTGCCTCCCATCCCCCCGCCTCAAATGAGAAAACGCAAAAATAAGATAAAATAAAATAAAATGCCGAGTCGTCTTCCGAAGACATTCCAGCAGGATGTCGGGAATCGACGTTCCCACCGGCGCAAGCACTCTTGAGGCGCTTTCATCAAGTCACTTGTGTCTTATCCAAGAATGCTACGTCTGCATCTTGTAGGCATGTTGGTAATACTTGGTTTGCGTTGTTTATTTGCTGTGGCTCGCCCGTATCTTCTCGTGTACCCAGGCCTCTGCTATGATTTGTTCCGCGCAGTTGTTTCGCGCTAGCCTCCCGTAAGGTCTGTTCTTCTTCTGGGGTAGCTGGTATTGTGCATGCTTGTCCGTCCAGACGATATAATTTCTTAATTTCTTAACGGACGTTGCTTAGGCCACATGGCTAAAGCCTCGGCGAGGCCACGTGGCGGTGCTGCCACCCCAAAACCTTCCCCGCCTTATGGCTACCACAAACCACGTATAACCTAGGCGGATGGGCGGAGTCGCAGGCAGACGTTTGGTCTCCTTATCCGACCTATTGTGCCACCCGCTCTATCATGGAATTTAACCTAATCAGTCCAACTAATTTGGAATTTTTGGAGGGTGCTTCCCGAACCCTAAACCCGGTGCGCCCGCAGCTTGCGGGTGATGATGACTAAGCCCTCGCCGGCTACCCTGGACAACGGGCCCCTAGCTCTAATGAGGGTGGCGAGGTAAATCTTCGTCCTCAACAACATCGGGGACGGCAACCTTGATCGGAAGCGGGAGATGCCATGCTACGCCAGCTATGTTTCCAGTACACCAGGTGCGTGAACTGGAACGAAGTCTACCGCCCTTCGATTCCGTTCACCCCCCACGAAGCAAGAGAGCTGTGCAGTATAGGTGGGCCCAGCTAAAGAAGGAAATGGGGTTAACAGCCCCACGAAGGGCTGCCACTAGAGTGGAAGATACGGTGGCGCCAGACTTACAAGACCGGGCTGGCGAGACTTTACTAGGTACCCCCAAACATTGGTGGATACCGACTCCGGGGGAAGTCCGGCCGCCGAAGAGAGGATCGGGTGACATCCGGAGGATAACACTATCACGAATGATGCTAGCGTTCCTACGGACCCAGTCGATAGTGAGCTCGATGCCCATTTTGGGGATGCCTTTGACGGTTACCGCGGTTGGGCTCAGCTCACATACATTAGAGAGCCTATTTTGAAAGGTTTCGCATGGATTTTGAAACGATTCGCATTAGGAACTGTACAACTAAGAATTATAGCATTTGGTTCATCCTGTCCATGGTAATACGAATTTCTTAGTGTCGCTTGGTTTTACTACCTCCCGTCGCAATAGCACCATGAGGGCTCCTGGCGCGAAAATCGCTAGCTCAGGAACCAAGAAAGCTGGGAGGCTGAAACTTTCAAATATTCTCAACTCATCTACAACTTGAATTTATCAAATTCAGCTCCCCGTTATGCGTGGTGGCTACGCACGACCCCGTGAAATTTTTTAGCTGCAATTTCGGTAACTCGGGAACTGAGGAAGCTGGGAAC